AATCTATTATATTTTTATAGATCAGGACTAACAAAATGACAAAACGTATCAAAATAACACAGCTAAACTTTTAGCTATAATATGTTATTTCAAGATATTGTAAGAGTTATTAAGATAATATAATGTCCTAACGCTCTAATTTAATTTAATTAATGTTAGGATATGCCATACACCAGTGTATTATTCTTACAATAAGGGGTTTATTAAAATTAATTTTTTAATTTTTCACCTATCTGTGGCTTCTAAAACCGTAAAATTACGGAGGCCACACTGAACCAATCGATGTGCCGCCGATAATCCAGCCATGCCAGCTCCTATGATCACAATAATTGGTTGTGGTTTGCTCGGATCTATCATACAAGGATCCAGCTGATATGGTTCGAAGTTTGTCGACTTTGCACATTCTGATATATCTTTTTTATTTCTTCCACCTTTATTCCAGAATAATCTGCAACACAGAAGATTATTTCATTCGATTACTTTTGATTGCAAATAATGAAATCCAATTTCATTAACAAATATATTAATAATATGTAAAATGAAAAAGTACCATTTTAGCAAAAGAACTGTGTAAGCTCATTTGACGATTGATTAATTCCTGCATACCTTGTGAAAAATCGCAACAGTTTCCTAGATGGTACCCTAGATTTGAAAAGCATTTCATTGGTTGTATAGTATTAAAATCAATTAATTTATAAAATGGAGGTTATTAATTGCGGAAATTTAAACGTATATAATTTAGACACCGGTTGCTATGAGAAAGACATATCATTTACAAACAAACAACTTCTATTATTTATGATTTTCTATTGTCGTTTTGTTATCTTTTGCATTTATCGAGCGATGCATTACTTGTGACAGTTTTAATTGTAATTTAAATTAAAAGAATTTATAATTTGGTAAGCTTACAATATTAATAATAATTAGCAAATAATCAATTCATAGCTTTCTTACTTTAATAAAAGAAATTCGAATATGATAATTAATATAATTAAATATAGGTATAATTAATTTGCAAACATCCTCGTTGTTTTATAAAGAGTTCTTGTTGCGTTTCCAAAAAAACTTTAGGTAATTAATATTCAAAACAATAAAAGTAGAAGTGAGAAAATGTAAAATTTTAATTTTTATTTAAAAATTTATAATTTGTGAAAAGTTAATATTAAATTGAAAACATAAGATGTAAATACGTACATAAATCCGAAAAATTAAATGACCTACATTATAGCTCCACATTTATTCCTTACATATAACGACGTCTAGTTATTATAATTATTATAATATATAGGTATATATAGATATTGTATAAATTTAGTATTTGCACATTGATATTGGTTAAAATACATATTTCTTAAAATTCATTCAATTAAAAATATATCGTGCAAATAACCGATAAAGCGACGATCATATTTCATAAATATATAAGATCTAATAGTTATAAGATTGTATAGTTATCTAATAGTTCTAGAGATAATAGTAAGTAGATATGAGTTTAGTTATATTAGTACATTTAATAGTTATAAATATAAGTTATAAGATTAATATACATTCTGTTATTAATATACATTCTGTCATAAAAAGTGCGAGTATGATATTTATTATTACGTGGAGAATGCATAAACTCGATGTTAAAGCCGATCTACATAAGACACAGAATGCAAAAATCTCGAAGCATATTACTTTTAAAATTAACGCATCGGATTGGCTGACGCAACAAATTTGCGACTTGCGACTCGCAATCTGCGTGTAGATCGGACTTAAGAATAGACGCGTAGCGTTCAAGTTTTTTGGCGCGTGAAGTTAATCGCGTGAAGTAGGCGCGCCGAAAACGAAGTCGTATCTCGCGACATCCTTCCGCCATCTTGACGCATTCATATTTCATTTGCATGACGCGACGGACACGGAACAGATCGGCTCCGGATATAGCCGGCATCGCGATTCATTAATTGGTAAGGAAACTTATATGCAGTGATGGGTAAGATACTTTTAAAAAATGTATCTAGGTACAGATACTTGAAAAGTGTCTTCAGATACGCATATCAGATAAATTTTAAATTATATTTTATATTTTAGTATAATAACGGTAATACTAAAAATAAGATTGCGTTTTACCTAACGTTCGCAATGCTCGCAAGTATCATTTTATCCTTTTTGTCATTAAATATTAAACAAGGATGAAAAAATATGTCAATAATTGACATTTTTTTTAATTGAAAAATATGTATAACATATTTATTAATAATCTTTTTGGTTGCTGTGTAAATTAAACGAGCAGCACTAAGCAGACTAAACTTTGCAATTGCTGCTTAATAAGAATCGTTACGTAATAGTCATTTGTCAATAATTATATTCACATGTTTTACATTGCATCACGACAAAATTGTATTATATACGCATGCCGAATGTTTTGTGTGTAATTCTACATCACAAATAAATTTTGCATGTATTCTTGTTGTATATTTTGTTATATTTAATTTTATAATGTAATTCTTGCGGTAATGTGTTACACATAATGTAAAATAAATTATATACAAAATAATGTAAATAATAAAAATATGAAAGAATGTACTGTAAAATGATAACTTTAGCTTAGTCGAGACATTTTGTTCAAATTTTGAAAAATATCTATAGACAGCACGTACATTCGAAATCAGAACGTTTTTAAGGCCTATTTTTACAATATATAGAGCCGGTTGTTCCACCTTTTGGTTAAATTTTATCTGCTAGGTAAATCTGGCAATCCGCGCAATGTAATTGGAGAATCTTGCTACTTACCCAACAAGTAAAATTTACCAAAAGATGGAATAACCGGGCCATATATAGTTACCTAAAGATTAAAGGTTACTCCAACAGATTCATCAATGAAATTCATTCATGAATTTCTTGGTTACCTTTAATCTTTAGGTAACCATATATTGTGAAATCGGGCCTAAAACGCTCTTATGTAGATTTTGACATGTGTTGTCTAAACTTTGTCAAAATTTGTATCAAAGTTATCCCGATTTTAAGCCGAATCCCATTTTACAGTATGTAAATTCCGAAACATAATAGAAGCAAGTGTAGTAAGTCTTAAATCTTAAGAAATTTATTAATCACAATCGATTGCAAGAAGAATATTCGACTATGATTGGTCAATTTTATAAAGTTTAAGACTTACTACACTTATTGCATTTTAGAACTGAAAAAAAGAAGACTTTAAAATCTAAAGATATTATTTTATTTATAAAGAAAATTGTAAAATCTAATTTAGATAAAATATACATAATAACTACAACGATATTTG